GAACAGGGTCTTGAAATATGGGGCCTATGAAGCCCCATCAGCCTTTCACAGGGGCCTGCAGACGTCACAGAAGAATTACACCTGTGCTCCAGGTACATGGCTGAGCCTTAGGATTTACATTACAGGGGTCAAAAGCAACATTTTCTGAATGAACAATGGAAATGGGAGAATAGAGAATGTGTCCTTGTGTAAGAAAAACAGTGTAATTGAATTTGTCCTGAGCCAGATGTGCACAGTTCTACAAAAGGAGGTGGGGAAGATTTCAGTCTGTTAGAGTTTAAGAGTTAGTGTTTCTCTTCTCCTCACTCTTATTCACAACATGAGTCCTAAACTCCGTCCTAATCAGGATCCCACTGAGTCTACCCAGAGTCTCAAGTGTAAAGCCACCAAGTTCCCTTCAGTTTCCTCAGAATCTGTTCTTGAAGACCACAGCAGTCATTGCTTCATCCCAAAGTGAAGTCCTAGTCCTGTGTCCCATTCATGTCTGTGTTTCCATTACACATTTTCTTAGGAGGTTTTAATTGACTGTAGCTGTTTAAACCACAGCCACATATGTCACCATTTTTTTTCTTTTGATTATAGGATCTTTACAAAATGTTCTTTACCAGAAGAACAAGTGCATGAATTCCATAGCATATACAGAAGTTCTGAGCATTCCTATCAACATGGAGAAAACCACTTTCAATACTACCCTGTCTCTGCTGTTGGTTCTCTGTGTGGTACATACAGATCAGCAGTGTGAATAAGTGTAAGAATGTGTGTATAAATATATTTATGCAGGGATGTAGCTTCATGCTGTATGAGTGTAAACAATTATTGGAAAATACATTCTGTGCTGTGTGGGGAAATACACTGTGTGGTGGAAGAGAAAGGATCTCAGTGAGACAGTCCCTGTGTCCTTCACTGCTCCAATAATTTACTTTTCTGTTGCCTATTGTAAAAAATCTGCACATGTGTGACATTTTGTCTACCTAGATTCTTAACAACACAAATCTGAAATGACTTCATTTTCAATAAACAGAGTTATTTTCCTTAACATTTTATCTAAGGACATAGGGCTTTGTTTCCCCCACAATAAATTACAAGGCTTTAATTTCCATTTATTTATAAATAAAACCATATATTCAGTTTTCAGGTAAGTAAAATTCAAAGGTTACCATGAAGAAGATTGAATACCGTTGATTTTATCAATTAATTTTTCATAGCCTCACATTCTTCTGTAGTTTCAACATGAAACAGTTCAAACAGGGAAAATAAAATAAGTTTTTTCTTTTCAAATGAAGACTAGAAAAATCAGATCCAGCTTTTTAACTAAAATGTAAAGCAGCCAAGAAATTCACTTATGGGTTTCATTACCTATTAGCACTACTAACAATAACAGTGAGAATGTCTGCAAATAACCAAGGAAATTAGATTGAAAGTATCCAATGAAATTCCTTCCACCTCACATATGCAAAAACACACATAAACCATGTTATGCTTCTTAGCTAGCAGTATTTATTCCTCTCACTGAGCTATAGCATTCCAAAATTTCAATGTGATTTTCTTTTGTATTTCTCTGGCTTTATAGAATTGTTCTTGAATACATTGCATTGTCTTCCTTACATCATTCAGCTACTTGTTTTTTCTTTGAATTCATTCAGGGGTTCATACATGTCATCTTTAAATTCTCTGGTCATTATTATTCTTCAACTTCACTTGTGTGTATTCTTAGGAGTTCCTATCTTTGGCGGGGTCTTGGTGACTGCTTGTTTCATAATTCTTTTGTTTCTTTTTTAGGATTTGTACAGTGAATGGCTAGTAGTTTTTATCTCCTGTAATCATTAAGATCAACAACTGAAAATGATCTGCATGAGTTTCTAGAGTCATGGTTGATGTGACGGTCTTCTACACTGACCTAGAGCTGAAGTTCATCAGAAACATCACTCACTTGCTCAGGGTACTGGAGTGTATCCCCAGCCACAACAAGATACTGGAAAATTTGTTTGGTATACTGTAGATTGTAGTGCATAGGTTGGTTTTGTATTCTATTTGAGGTCAGAACAGGTCAAGGTGAATTGTCCACTTCTGTGCTATTGACACATTAGAAGATTCTTTTCTTTTCTTTTTAAGTGGTCCAGCTGCTGGCTGCAAGAACCTTTGCAGCCTGTGGAGGGTGGAAGTTCTCACTGATCCTTGGGTTCTGAAGCAACAAAGCCAAGGGTGAGATTTTGATTGGTCCTACAAACAAAACTTGAATTCTGCACTGATGGTAGAGAACTGAGGGACTTAGTTCTCCATGCTTTCATATGAATTCCAGACATTCTTTCACACTTGATTGGGGGGGCGGTATGGATATCACATTGTTCACAGCACATAGGATTGGAGTTCTATGAACAGCATGGCTGAAAAAATCCAAGGTTGTAGGCAGCACTGGGAGCCCAGTCTTGGATTCTACTCAATGGTTTCCAAATCCTCCTGAGGAATCAGACAGGGCAAATCTTGTAGTTCTCAGGGCCTGTTCCCTGAACTCGCAATACACTTGACAGCCCACACCTGCAGTTGTCACACAGATCCTGGAGGTCAAGCTTCTGTCAACCTCAGGCCTGGTGCTCTGTTTCACAGTGATCCTTGGGTGAGGGTACTTGCTACCAGACAAGAGAGGTGTGGACACAAACTATGAAGCCCTTCACTGCTGGAGCTCCTTGCTATTCAAACATCTCAGTGGCCAATGTCAGAACCTCTTACTCTCCACTAGCCCTTCTCATGACCGTCTTCCACTCAGACCCTGAAGAAAGGTGTCTCAAGATGCTCTGACCAAATTCATTCTTAGTTTTTAAGTTGCTAGTTCAGTTCAGTCTCAGACAGTAGGCTGTCCCACAATATGATGCCTTGCTATAGATTTTCATGATATGGGGAGTAAATAATATATGATACTGTCTTTTCATCCAGGAGAAGTCACTAGCACACCAAATTGCATGAATGGGTTTAAGGATTGGGGGAAGTGAGGGCTGGTCTCAAGGTCTGCCACATTCTCACCAAAGTCACTTCACTTACACAGTGGCTGAGTTGTTGGATACCTCCACCTCAGTGTGGAGCTGCACTGGACCTGCAGCCCATTTCCTTTTTTATTTTATGATATTCTGTTTTCCCAATTTCCGGGTGCCCTGTCCCTCTCTGAAAGTTCCTGAAGTTCATCCTCTGTTTCTCTCTGCAGGGTTCAGTCTCCCCTTTCTTCTCCTGACTCCTCTCACTCACAGAGTCAAATAGATAATGGTTCAAATCCACTATCTTTTCCTGTGTCTATTTCAGCTGTTCTCATAACTAGTATTGTAGTTTATTAATAAAATAAGAATAGATCTAACAAACCTAGGCATATATGAAAGAATTATAATCTGAGTGTGGTAGCAATGACCAGAATCGCTTGCTTATGGAAGCAATTTGCACAACCCCCAGGTACCTACCAGTGAATGTGTGGAGGAAGAAAATGTGTAATATGTAGAAAATTGTATATCATTTATCAAGAAAAGAATGACTTTTTGTCATTTTTGGCAATGACTATGTTACATGAGAATAATGCACAGTGAAATAAGCAATACTGCAAAAAGAGATATAACACATAATCTCCATCATATGCAGAAAATAAAAAAATGAAACCTATAAAAGGAGGGAGAGGAACAGTGGTCACTAGAGACTAGGAAAAATAGAGGAGGAGATGGAGCAATGGGGATGGCTTCCAAATACAGTTAGGAATAATTAATTTTAGTGTTCCACAGCACAGTGCAGTGAATGTACTACACAACAATGTGTTATGTACTTCAAAGTAACAGAAGGAGGATATTCACATTTCTATATGATAAGTTTTAGAAGATATGGATATGCATTCCTAATTTTTTCACTACACATATTGTGCATGTATCAAATATTATAATATCTGTTAAATATTATTTTTTTCAGTTTTAAAGCTACAAAATGAGAGTGTAGGAATAGCTCAGAAGCAGAGCACATGACTGGCATGAGTCCCTATTCTAAGCAATGTTGGCAATCTAAATTCAATAATTTGTAAAATATAATCTAATATACAATTTGTTCAGGTAATGTAAAATACATTCAGAATTCAAATGTGAAAAGTCTAATTTATATAAGATTGTGCAATGCATGTTCATAAAACATCCTTAAGTAAGAAAGTAAAAATTTCTGTAAATAAAGAATGTAAAATTTATGGGGAAGTGATTGAAGGAATCCACCATTGCTCAGGAATGATATTAACATGTGAGCCAGCATAAATGAGGAAAAGATTTTCAACGAGACAAAGAAATAGAAATAGTCTCACAAGAAAGCCCTCAGTATTCATCTGTATAACCGCTGCTTACTAATAATAATTCACTGAATAATGTACAATTTTAATAAGGTTATTGGAAGCTGGACACATGAAGCAAACATTCTATTTAAATATAGTAGGAGGACAAAGGGAAAATAAAAGTAGAAGAAGGTTGATACCATTTGTTGCTATGATAATGACTTATTATTACTGAGACTCCTTCTCGATATACCACCTGGGAATCAGGGCATGTGCCAGTTGTCTCAGCTCCATTTGAGGTGTTGGTAGGACGATCACCAGGCAAGGCCCATCACTAGTAAAAATATGAGACTCTAGGTGAAATAATTATCTAAACTAAAAATAATCTGCTGTTGTGACTGGAGTGGTAGAGAAATTGCCTAGGAAGTACATTACTGAGTTCATACAACAGTACCACCAAACAGAAAATAAGCAGAGAATTATTTCTAGTGATCTGAAGAGACCTCACTGACTCAGAATCCCTGAAGGTGAATGGCAGGAGATGGCTGAATAGGAGCTAGAGCTTCAGGAAGAAAAGTCCATGTGTATCAGCCCCTAACATTGGGACTGAAGCTGTGCTTGCTGTGAGCTACGCGCCCCCTGCTGGTGACGAGCGACCCTGCATGGGAGGTTTGTGTCTGGGCTGACACTGCAGTCCCCTCACTGTGCCTCTTGCACAGTATTATGTGGCTGTGTCCTCTGTGGTCACAGAGCTCAGCTTCAGGGAGAACTGCTTCTTAGACGTGTCTCTGGAGATGAAGATACGGCTCTTGAGGGATGGGCTGTAGCTTGTGCCGCCATCAGACCATATGTACCCCATCCACACCAGGCTCTTTCCAGGAGGCTGGCAGATCCAGTTCCAGCCATAACCACTGGTAATTGAGTAACCAGAGACTGTACAAGTGAGGGACAAGGTCTCCGAGGGCTTCACCAGGCCAGGTCCTGACTCCTGCAGCTGCACCTGTGACAGAACACCTGGAAATTAGAAGAATCATTATGGTCAGTCACCAGCAGGCATCAACTTCCCATAGACCCACATGTGAACTTGAGAACACTCACATTGGGGAGCTGTCATCAGCCACAGGAGAAGACCCAATGGTCTCATTTTCTGGAACACTGTCCTGCCTTCCCCAGAGACTTCAGTCCTGTGTGAAGAGAGAGCTGTGAGCTCCTCCAGGACTGGGGTGTAACTTAACCTAGAGCATGAATAATAATTTGCATGTGTGAAGTCTTCTAGTTATACAGGGGGATAGATTGAAGCGAGAGTTACCTGGGTCTGATGTGCCCTGTGAGTAATATCTGATCTAAAATTGAAAAAGTGTTTACATTCATGATATGTGATAGCTGGTTTTAGAGGATGATGGAAGCCGATCAAGGAAGAGCTCACCTTTGCTGGACAGAACTGTTTTCCATGGCCAGCCTTGTCATCTCTCTTCTCAGGTTTTAATTTTCTTCCCTTGAGTTGATTACAGCAGAGCTCCTCTTTTCCCCAATGTTCCTTCTACTGTGGATTACACACAGTTGCTGTGGGAACTTGTTACGTTGTCACATTCCTGCTCTTACATGAGATGAAGGCCTCTGCTGCTCTTATTCCAGAGAAATGTCTTAAAGAATATTCTTTGAGAAGTGTGCCAATGTCCTGTGTCCAAGGATGTGGATTTGGTGTAGACATTGGTAAGAGTTCTTATTATCATATATATAGAGATAGGTGATAGATAGATAGATAGATAGATAGATAGATAGATAGATATAGATATAGATATTGATATAGATATAGATATTGATATAGATATAGATATGCATGAGTTCTTTTTTGCATTACCACAGGTTTTGTTCCCTAATTTATTATCAGTAATTACACACATTTTTTATTTACTTGGTGTTGGACATTGAAAAATTGTCCATTTTGATTCCATCACCTTTCACAGAATTGTGTGTGAAATTGAGTGACCTTCAATTCAGAATGTTTGGGGCAGTTATGATTCTCCTATTTATGGTGAGTTTATTTTCTATGACAAGAAGAGCACTCTGGTTCTAAAGTAAGAGTTCTCAACACCATAGTCCAGTTTACAGTTGTTCCATTGCTGGGGACATGGAAAATGAATCATTTTCAAGACTTTTCATCTCAAAATGCAGGTGATTTCTGTATTTCAACAATAAAATATTTTTATGCTCTAAATGTCATCAGTTTTCCAAGTGTCATTATATCATATATTGATGGAGGCCTTCCCTAAACAGACTTCCTGGGAAAGACCTATGGTGATTCCTGAGGATGACTTGCTGGTCCCGGGTGGTCCTCTGCTTCTGGTCCGGAGTTCATTTCACTGGTCCTGAGTTCCCCCTGGTGGTGCTGAGAACACTCTGCTCTTCCTGAGTGTTCCTGTGAATCCTGGACAAGCCTGGAGGACCTGAGCACCCCTGCTGGTTATGAGCACCTCTGCAGGGAGGACTGTGTCTGGAATCACACTGCATGCTGATCACAGTGCTTGGCACAGTAAAACACACCACTGTCATTAGCTGTCACAGTGCTCAGTTGTAAGAACACTTGGTTCTTATCTGATTCTCTGGATTGATGAATCTGGACTGCAGGTTGGGGCTGTAGATAGTTCTCCCTTCATCTCATATCACATCTGTTCACTAAAGGCCTTTCCCTGGTCACAACTAAACTTATGACACAGAATATTATGAGAGTGAGGGTGTGTAGATACTACAGGTGAAGCCTGTCATCTGAAAGGGGAACAGGGCTGTCTCCCTCCATTGCATGTTGTGATCCTTGGCCTCGAAACCTGGTGATAGGAAGCAATGTTCAGCCACTCAGACACATCTGCTCATTTTCACTGATTCATTTTGAAATCCATGAGTCACTCACCACTGAGTGTAGCCACAGGAAAAACAAGACAGAGGAAGAAGCCATGTTAATGTTTGCAGACATCAAAAGAAACATGTCCACATCATGACTCTTCACATACTTCCTCTACTTATACTCAACCTGGGGCCTATTTGCATGGGTGAACTGACAGGAGCATGAGATGGGCAGGTCATATATGGGAAGTAAAAGCATCTATGGCTGTCCTGTGGAATGGGTCATAGAATGGATTCATCTTGTGGAAAGAGGAGGGAAGCCCTGGAATGCAGGAAAATTTAGTGTGGGCTAGGCCTGGGATCTGAGGAGCTCTTCTCAGAAAGGTCTCCTTCCTATGCTTTACTGTGTTTACTTGGGAAATAAATTTTTAATCCATGATCATCTATTGATTTTTTGCAGAAGAATAAATTACGGTGGGAGTTTAAAAAGGTTTTCCTCCCACCAACAACTAATTAAAATGGTATTGTTTACAAATTATGAATAAAAAGAGACTATTTCTTTTTTTTTTCATTAAATCCATTCAGAAAACATGAACTGTTCATAGTTTGACTATTGGATATTTAATTATTGAATAATTCATCTATCTTCTTTTGAAATGTTGATAATCTGCTTTCTAATTGAGCCAGTCTAATGGAAAGTCTGGCATCTGGGCTTTTTAGTTGGTTCATCTAATTTTTCCTTTCAGGACTATATTCATTAGTAGTACAAGTGGATTTCATTGAGATAATTCCTTAGGTGGGTATAGTGTATTTTGAGCAAGTTTATACCCTGCATAGAATTCTCATTCTCATCTTGCAAGGTCTTCCTAATTTTATCTAGTTATTTATCTATATTCTCTGTTAATTTATTCAGATATTTTTTCATGTGTTCTTTAAATCATGAATTATCCTTTAATAGTTCTTTGTGAAGGATTTCATCTACTTACTCTCATTAGTGTATTTTTTTCTGCAATTGTTGATGTTTTGAGGACTCTTTTTGCCTTATTTTCTAATGATTCCAGTATGTCTGCATTGGGATATGCACATAGATTTGTGGTAGGACTTTGTAATGTTTCACACAAATTCCATGGATATAGTTCAGTAGCCAAAGATTTTCACAACATGCAGAAGTCATAGAGCCCAGTCACCACCACCACAGGAGGGAGGGGGAAATCTTCGTGCAAAATGAATTGCAATTGACTGGCACAGCTCTGTGGAAATGCAGTACTGACCAGTAAAACACTCACCATCACAACTCAAACACCCTGAGAGGAATTAAGGAACAAAGAGACTGTGAGGTGAGGAAAAGTGACAATAGTTATTAAGTGTAGAGACAGAATGGAAATGGGGGGAATAACACAGTAAGTAGTACAAGAAATGCATGTGAACAGGATGGAAGTATAAATGAAAAATAAATGGAAGGGGTTCAAGAAAAAAGTAGAGAATGAAGAAGATCCAGCTGACAATAAAGTGAGCAGGAGAAAAAATAATTATGGTAATAAAGTCCTGAAAGCTGAGAAAATATAACCAAATCTCTGACAATAAATAAACAATGTAGACGAGTGGAATGGAGAAAGAAAATACACGAAAGAAACTGATGTATTTGAAGAAATAAGAATAAATCTGAACGGAAGGAGAAAGGAGATGGGGAAGGAAGCAACTGAAAATATAATATGGAAACTTGGGTGTGGTTTCCATCTGCAGTCCCAGCACTTGGGTGTCTGGATGAAGAATCCACAACCATGTTAAATGTAAAAATCATTTCAGGGAAGTAAAAATCAAAGGAAATTTGAAGAAATTCTTTAAAATAGAATAAAATTCAAAAGTAAGTGAATACATGAACAGACCACTGTGGTTTAAAATATCTCTAAAAACAATTGGACAATTGAACAAAAATTGGAGAAAATAGAAAGGTAATTTTTCTTTGAAATAGAGGTATGAAAGCCTTCCAGTCTTCTAATGGTGACAATCTTGAGAGAATTTTCCTGGTTCATATGAAACTGCAAATTCCAGGTCATCTATTGGGTAGACTTCACATTTAAGTAAATAAAATCTACAGAAAAAATCAGTAGAATGAATGCCATTTGCAATATCTGCAGAAACAAAGATTGCACAGGTGTTCAGGTAAGAAAGGTCAGTCTTACTCTTCATTTACTTCATAGTTTTTCAACACTCAAAGGTTTATTTTCTAGCTACCATGACAAAACAGTCCTGGGGGAGGGGAAAGTCTCATATTTTAGTGCTATGAGTCATTGTAACATAATTAAGCCAGTCTCTAAAAGATGAATATTGTAGAAGCAACCTATACATGGTGCTTAGTATAGTGAAATTCAGAGACAGGAATTGTATGGTTCTGTGGGGCTGGGCAGAGGGTGTGGCATGTATTCCTTGGTGGGCACAGACTTCTTATTTGGGAAAAGGGTAAGAGTGCAGGTGAAGATAGGTGGTAGGGAGGCAGAACAGTGTTCATTTGATGTCACCAAGTTGCCTAGAGAAAAACAGTTAAATTGGTAAATTAAATGATTTGCATTTTACCACAATTCCAAAAATTACACCTTATGAATGAAAATTATAAAGAAAAATTCACAGCATGCAAAGAACTTTCTTCTGAAACTAGGTGAGAATATAATTTTCCCATTACAGCTCTATCCAAAGAAACTTGAGCTGTGAAGGACACCTGAATACTGCAGTGACCATTGTGCAATACTCAGATTTCAGTGCAGGTTGGAAGCTGCACAGTAAACTGTGTCTTTTAGAGAAAGTGGTACAGCAGGGCTAATGTATGAAGTCCAGGTGCCACACTCTATGGGTCCCAGAGCCCAAAAAAGCCATCATCTCACCTGCCTGTAGAACAACAGTCTTCAGTACCCTGCAAGGGAAAATTGTGATAACAGCATGGTGACCAGTTTCTAAATGCCATTTTCAAGTGTAGCTCCTGAGTCATCTAGGAGAATTGACACAGATCTGAGGCACACTATGCAGACTTCAAGGATTCACTCTTCAATTAATACTCTGATAGCTACAGCCTTGGCTTCCATATGAGGAAGCTGTGTGGGGAAGGTGGTCTTAGAAAATTCTTCCTGACTGAATTAGGTGAGAATTCCAAGCAGATACCATTGTTCTTTGTATTTCTATCACATGTCACTTTTTACTGACATTGTGTAGAGTGGTGGTGGTGACTGTCACATCATCCTCTGTCCAGAGTGTTAATGCTATCACCATTTAATTTTTCACCTTTAAATTAACTCTACAAGTTTATCTTTG